CCCCAAAACCCCAAAACCCCAAAACCCCTTACAATTTGTTAGGGAATGAAATAGTATAATTAATTACATATACGAATATGAAGGGATTAGTTTGAGGGTTCTTTATAGGTTTGTCTGTAATAGTTTTAGCCTGAGATGTTGGGACTTATGATGATGGGACTAATTGAATTCCGTGACATTCTTCATGCAGAGAGTGAGAAAATGGTTCTTCTTGTACTACTTGAGAACCATATATGTATGTTGATGGCCCTTCAGGGCTGTGTACTTATTGAGAAACCGGGCAGTTTTATGAGTCCACTTCACAAATTTGAAGGGATTGAGAAACAAACTGAAATGGGTACTGAGCATACCAGAGTTCTTGTTTACAATGATCTTCCTCAGATCTGTTTGATTTAGAAGATTTTTTGTGTGTTTCATCATGAAGTTCCCAAAAGGAAGAGATCAGTGATTCATTGCGCCTCAATATTCCAAAAATTTGAAGATCAAATAAATTTTATATCGACTCTACTTACGAAGGTCAAATAGAGCTTGGGACCATAGATCACCCATTCAGAACTCTTTTGCCAGCTTTTGAAATAATTTTGTTACATTATTCAAATTCTGAAAAAAGTGCTGAGGTTTTAATAAAAGAAAATACTAACATTTTTATCCAAGATTCTAACATTTTTGTGATAAATATGAAATCAGTGGTTGTCTCAACATACAACGAGACTGATTCACCAGCTGGGTTTGTTACTATTTACTCAACAGACCAGCCACAACAAAAAATAAGTTCAAAAGCAATTTTCCATTTGATGAAAGACATTACTATAAGCCTCGATTCTATTTTGGCCAACGCAAATCTCACAAACGAAGAATTTCAAAAAGTGAGAAAAACAGAATCAGTTTTTGAAGTGACAAGGACATCAATAACACTCGACCACATAATTGCTCGAAGAATAGCTGCCTCAACTGCATCTGGAGTATTTGTCACACTAATCAACCTTCAGCAGAAAACTATGACTCTAAGTATATAGCTTTTGTCTAATTTACTTTAGAAAATATGGAGTTTAGAGTTTCAGGGACACTTGCTTCAACCAGCGATCCGATGAACATCCACATGGAGAATATCTATGTTGACCAATACTCCACAATAAGCGGGTTCAGCTTCGAGACTGTATGAAATTACCCAGAAGCGTACCTGACGCCAACAGTGACGGTGAACAATCTTACAATTGACTCATCTTTTCCTGAAGCCGAGGTCACCATTAAACCTCCTTACTTCTTTTATTCTGGACCAGGAAATGTCACTGCCAAATTTTGGAATGCTACAAATGGGTTCAGTCTAGAGACCAATACTATTGCAGGTTCCTACATTTTTGCATCTCAAGTCTGAAGTCCACCTGATGGGATTTTGAGAACATTTGATGTAGACACTTATTATGGGTCAATACGTTATAATGATGATGGGAAAAAGGGAAATAATTTTATTATCGGACTGGTCAACGGGCTTGGAAGGATTCATAGAGTGCAGCTATCCAATTTCTTCGTTGAGGATTATGATTCCTCATATATGGGTATTACAGTTAGGACACAGCCTTCTGATACAGTAATTTTGTCAAATATAGTTGCCACCAGATATTCAGCATCCGCAGGTTTTTTGTGGCTACATACAGGAAGTAAGCTCTTTTAAAAATTTTACCCCTTCTAAATTTATTGCCAGATATAATTTTTTGATTTAAATAGAAGACTTTAGTATTTTGAAACTAAAAATAATTAGCAAGATTCCTCTCACAAATTTTATTTCTACTTTTTCTAAAAAGTTTTCTAAAATTCTTAATTATATTAAAAATTTCGTAAAAAATCACCAAACTTCCAAAAATCTTAAAATACAAATTTCCCAATTTTCCTTCTTTCGCTCTCTCTGAGCCCTTGAACTCTGTAAATCCCCAGCCAACAAGCCCACCTCTTCATAAAGTATGGTCGCTGCTATCTCTTTGTCTTGAGAGTTGTTCGATAGACTTTGAAAAAATTCAGATAAATTCAGAGACGTTAGTTCTTTGTAACCGTTAAATTCCAAATCAGTAGCTACACAAGTCCGAGTGACATTTACTTCTATCATCTAATAAACTCCTCTTTGGGTTCTATGAGGGTCAAAGAGAGTAAGCAAAACTTCTAGAGCAGAGATCTGATGGCAGATATGCACAACACTTAGGCTCAACTTTTAATATGTACTCGGTTGGTAGTAGAGCAATTTAAAATTATATCCCTTTGTGACATCTACTTCTTTTAACTTTTCTGGAAAATTGATATATTATGAAACATAAACACCAAGTTTTAAATTTTGATCATAATTCTGATACCGTTTAATATGGTGGAGACCAACCGATTGGGGTTTCTCTCATCAGAAAAGCTTCAGATAATCACTAAATCTCTAAAAAAATGCATCATTAGTCATGAAGAGAGAAATTTACTCTCTGTTTAAATCTGGGTGTTTTCCTATGGTTAGTGAATTCGGAATTTTTCAAAAATTTATGAAGAGGTATATCAGTTGGATCCTTGGCATAAATTACCACAATTCACAAGATGCAAACCCCTTAATTATACTCATAGCTAAGTCGAAAAGTTTTATTGATCGATATTGTGCAACCTGACATACTCTTAATACCTGTTTTATTTACCTAACTTTGTTTTATCACTAAGAGAGTTACACAATCCCAATAAACTATAAATAAAATAGTTTCGATAAAGTCAAAAAATTCTCATAATTCGGTGAAGATAGATTTTAAATTCTCTTGGTTTTTTTAGCTTAGTTGCTGAACTCTGGCAAATACCATCCAATATTTTCAGAAATAAATAGAAACTTTTTCGATTTTTCATAATTTATAGTTGTATAATTTCATCTATAGGACATCTTGAGCTCAGGAATATTACTTTCATTAACAGTGGACCTCAGATCAATCCGAGTATTAGGATCATGAATCATATCAATTGAGTTCTCAATAATATTAAGTTCATAAATTATACTGGAAGTTCTAATCCGATAACACCTGCAATCAGTATGGAAGAATCTCTAGCAAATTTCAGTGCTACAAATATACAGATAGAGGGCAGCAATTTCATCAAGCAAAACTTCTTTATAGCATCGATTCCTATGGATAGTTTCACTCTCAACTCAGTTTCTGTTTTAGATTCTACTATCAATTCTGATGAAAGTTTCTTCTCTGTAGTTCTACTGAAGCAGTTTCAGGTTAATGATGTTCATATTTTGAGATGAATGCCAAACACTTTGGATGGTCAAGATACATCTTTTATCACTCTTAGTTCTCTAGACATAAATAACTCATATAACTCTTCTTTAAATGGCCTTATTTATGAGAACTCCTCTCTCAATGTGGTCAACTTATTAAAATTAGCCAACTCTTACTCCTCTCTGAAGACTCTGAAGTTTACCAACTTGACATACAAAAACACTGAAATATCAACAGAGAAATCTTTAATCAAATTGAATCAGTTACATTCCAGCTCTCAAGTAGAATTCTTCTTCGAGGATCTGACTTTCTCAAATATCAAATTCACAACAATAGGGTACTTGCTAAAACTAGATCATCACCTACCAGCGAATCTGACGTTGAAGAACTGAGTGTTCTCAAAAATCTCCAATGGGATCATCTTGATTACTAACCCAAGGAAGAACGATAAAGATATATTCACTCATGTAGATATGTACAATGTCACAGTTGATAATGTTCAACAATCTAAAAGCTCATTTATTCTTGTTAGAGAAGAAGCCAAATTATCTATCTCTAATTCGAACTTTACAAATGTTTCAGCTTTGGCATCTGGATCTGTCATCAATGGAGGCTCTTCTAAGACTGAGACTGTTATTGAAAATTCATTGTTTCAGAATAATACTGCTCAGAAAGGCGGAGTATTCTATGTCTCTGATCAAAGTTCTATTTTATGAAGGAACTGCATTCTCACCAATAATTACGCAATCACGAGTGGAGTTATTGAAGTAACTTTAGGTGGTTATTTTGAGTTCTATAGCTCACACATTTATACAAACTATGCAAATAGTGAACCGATAACATTGATTCTTGATAGCGCCGAACAGTCCATTGTAAACAATTGCTCTATTTATGGTAATGAAGCGTTATCAAAGACTCAAATATCTGAAGAATTCTTGACTTGTTCCAAGCTATGCTTTGTAAACGAAGAATACAAAACTTATTCGAACGCAAACTTTGGATCGACTATCATCGATATTGCAGAAACCCAATTATTCCAAGTCATTTCTGGGTCTCTGTTGGTTTTGAACAAAACAAAGATTTATGATCAATCAGTGATCATGAACTCATTTGTATCTACAATTTCATTTGAGGATTCTCTGATTGAAAATATTACTTTTGGAAGAACCAGTATTCAGTCTGTATCAACTTCTCTGACCCTGAATAGAATGACTATCAGAAATTTAAACAATACTGCTGAGACTGACTTCATTCTGGTGATGCTAGATAGTCGCTTCATGGTTTCAGATCTAAATTATTCATCTTCCAATTCAAGACTGTTCAAAATGAGAGCATCATCTATCGATATCTCTGATATTAACTTTGACACAATAATTAGAGCAAAAAGTTTGGTAGCAGTTACTGGCTGCTATAATTCTTCAATAAATGCACTATCTTCATCAAACTCCCGAGTGACTGACCAGTATTTACTAACTATTGACTCTTCTGAAAACGTGACTTTGACAAAGATCAACATTAAGAATTCTCAAACAGCTGTAATGCATATCAGTTCATCAAATATGATAAAGCTTGAGGGTATTAACAATATTCAGAATTGCTCTCAAGCTATTAGTATTTCTTCAAGTACTATAGATCATATTAAAGATTCTACATTCGATGGAAATGGAGCTCCAGAACTTCATTCAGGAGCAGCAATCAGAATAATTGATTCTGCACTGAGCATCCAGAATTCATCTTTCCTCAGAAATACAGCAGATTCGGGAGCAGCTGTATCTTTCACATGTACATCAATTAACCTTTGTAGCCTTAGAATTGATGATTGTCAATTTCGAGAGAATAATGCAATTGAGAAAGGAGGAGCAATCTACTATGATTATGTCAGGCCAACTTTTGGAAGTTCGATTATATTTGACAACAACTCAGCTCAGTATGGTAAAAACATTGCCAGCTATGCAGTCAAAATTACATTCGCTAATGATTCAGCTGCTTTATTAGACCTTCATGAAGTTGGGTCAGGTATTCCTTACCCAGAAACTCTCAAATTCGCAATTAGAGATTATGATAATCAAGTGATGGTTTTAGACAGCCAAGATTATATTCTAATGTCTCCAACCAATCCTAATACTACAGAAATCAAAGGTTTTAATTCAGGTATTCTTTCGCCTAACACATAGCTCCTCTCAGAAATGGAATTGCTAGTTTCGATAACCTCGCTGTGATAGCAAAGCAAGGGTCTCAAGGTATTCAAATCTCAGCAACATCAAATACCATAAATCAGAATAAGATCCAGAAAATCTTTGGGACTGTGATAAGTACCGACCAGATCACCACTAATGTCCGATATTGACAACCAGGAGAGTCCATCAAAGGATCCATTTGAGAAGAATGCTCAGCTGGCACATATTCTCTTAAATGGAACAGCAAAATTTGTCAGCAATGAATGGATGACGCTACATGAGAAGGCGGGATCAAGATTAGTGTCAATCCAGGTTTTTGGAGGAAGAACCTAAATTCAACTAATATTTTAAAATGAATCAACGAAGATGCATGTGAAGGAGGATTTTCCAATGATGATGCAAACCCAACCAAATGTGCTACAGGGTACACAGGAGAACTTTGTTCTAAATGAGCAATTACACAAGACTTTAAATATCAACAAGTTTCAGAGTCTCTGTGCCAGAAGTGACCAAACCCTGTTATTAATTTAATTAGAGTATTTTTGATTGGTCTGACAGTTTTTCTATTTTTTATGGTTATTATTAGTGTTAATGTGAGGAAGACTTCGGAAAGCTCAGTATCAATATTACTAAGAATTTTCACAAACTATGCTCATATCTTAACAACTGCGATATCGTTCAGTGCTAATCAGCCAGACCTAATCACTGGCGCATTGCTTCCAATTCGTAACATAGGCGATTCTTCTACAGCATTTGTGTCTTTCGATTGATTTATCAAGGACTCTGAGATCAAAGGCCCATTTCCATCGACTATACTGTTCAAATTATTCCTTCTGATCTTCTTGCCGTTGCTGGTCTTTGCACTTGTAGCTATTGTCTGGTTAATTGTGTACTGCATTAGAAGGTCATGGATCCCAAATATTCTCAGTTGTTTAATCATATCCTTCATCAGTGTTGTCTTCCTCATGCATCCTAAACTGGCTCAGTCAGGGATTGACATTTTCAGGTGCATACAAGTTGATGAAGGATTATTCAAAGTGAGGATTGACAGTGATATTGAGTGTTATTCAACAAGTCATATTAAATGGTGTCTTATTCTTGGAGTCCCGATCTTAGTGTTCTGGGTCACACTTCTTCCAATAATAGCTTTATTCTTAATGTACAGAAATGCAACAGAGGAGAAGGAAAACAGCAAAGTTCACAAATACTTTTTGATATTTTATCAGGGGCTGAAACCTAAACACTTTTACTGGGAGTTTGTGAACAGTGCAAGAAAGATCATGATCCTGATTGCTTTCCTTATGCCAGAAACGCTCTCAATCCTATTTTCTCTGACTGTGCTAATTGGGACTTGGAGACTGCAAGAGTATCTGCAACCATACAAGGATCACGAGAACAATCAACTAGAGATCTTAGGAGTTAACTGAGCTATAATAACTTTATGCTGAGGCATGGCTTACAATTCTGAAGGGAATAATGCAGGTCTCGACCGACTACTGATGGTTGTGATGATGGTTATTAACCTTATCTTTATTTGAAGATGGGCTTTCAGAATGATCTCCATCTTTTCTACTAAATACTCTTTCTGCAAGAAAATTTCAGCGTTGTTCTCTAAACTATCCTCTTCATCTGATGGAAAAGTAAGTTCCTTCTCCCAGCTATTCTGACCAATCTGTTTAGGAACAAAATACAAAATCAGAAAATAAGTTAAAAGTACACAAAAAGCTTATTAAAAGTAAGGATTTATACTCAAGAAAAGATTCAAAATATTTTGGCTTGATGAAGGGTTATTTAATGTAGCAAGGTTAATAATCAAACTATCTTTCAAATCACACACATAATGATGCTTTTAATTACGATACTTAATAATTGGGTTAATTTGTTTTAGGCTCTCAAAAGAAGAGAAGAATAAAGGGCTTAAGAAATAAGATGAAGACTAGAAAAGGCAATAAGAAAAATGCTAAAATCAAGAAATTTAAAGTTGACGCCAAGAGAATGGAACTACAAGTAATTTATTTTTATTACTAATAGAATTCTTCACAAAGAAGTAAGATGAGGATGATGTTCTCTGAAAGACTGGTAAGTTCGTAATCTCTTTTTGCTCTATTAGTATTATAACCTATTCTATTTTACAAAAATAACTGAAATAATTTAAAGTATTAAAAACACATAAAATGTGGAGAAGAATGCAAACTTTTATTGCTAAAATATCACTGCACCCAAATCTTTTAAAATAATTTATTAGTTGTCTTTAATTAAGGGAAAATCATAAGAAGAGAGACTAATCAAACCCTAAGAACTTAATCTCTTCAGATTCTAATTTTCAACTATAGGCTAACGGCCTATCAGAAAATAGACTAATGGGAAATAGTGAGAACATCCGCAGAAAAATTATAGAAGAAGAAAAGGCTAAATCTATCTACTCTGAAGTTGACCACATCATTCACTCAAGAACAAACCAGATATCTATTATCAAAGAAGCTGAGAAGAAAGAAGGTGACCAATGAGATATTTTCATTCCCAGCAATATTGGCAATGACAAAGATAATTTCCAAGAGTTCTCTGAAAGATTTGAATCATCGATTCCTAGAAAATATGGAAAATTTGAAAAATAAGCATGATTTATATAAAGAGTTTATACAAAATATTCCTCTCTCATTACCAAAAGATATTGTAACCACTTATAACAATTACACTTCAATACACCACCTATATCCCGGGGTTTTGGGGTTTTGGGGTTTTGGGG